CGCCCACCTGCGGTAGGACAGATCTGCCCGTTCCCCCCCCCCCCCAATAGCTAGGAATCCAAAACAGTCCAGTGGCGCCTGAGCGGTGGGTGTTGCCTTCTGACACACTTCTGGTGAGGTCAGGGGGTGTGGCATATGCAAATAAGTTATGCTAATGAGTTGTGCTGATGAGCGCCTGCACCTCTTTTTCTACGAAATGACCCCTGAACAACAAGAAAGACAGGCCCCTGCCCAACATATGACACAGGGAGGAGGGGAGGAGGACGGAGGACAGGGGGAACAAAGGAAGCACCTGTGTCCAGCCCACCCGTGTGCATTCTTAGGAGGGAGGCAGGAGAAGGGGCTGTCTGGTAAAATGCCTCCCACCCCAGAATTTATGGCTCTTGGCTTAGGAAGGATGGGGCTCCAGAGCAAACTCATTTACGCAGCAGCCAAAGGGCTCGCTCGCAACTTTAATGCCAAGAGCTCACAAAGGAGAATTTTTGCTCACAGGACTCCACAGCTTAGAGGGAGCCTTGGTGCCAAGTGCCTTTTGCAGGCTAACTGGTACAAAAAGGGAAAACCGGGCCAGTATAACGCCTCTTCCAACACAAGAGCCACTCAGCTCCACAGAGATGTAGAGGGCCCAGCCAGGAAAGACTTGCAGGACAGAAGAGTCACACCAAAGCTACAGAATTCCAGGAGGTCAGAGGGCAGAATGTCGGCCTTCCTCTGGGACCAGGAATGGCCACAGGGGTGGGGGAGGAGGAGAGGAGATCCCCCGCCCAGAAGGAAGACGCTCTCTCAGCCACCTTTTCTTCTTCCGGGGAGCTCTCCCCCCCCCCGAGCTACGTTGCAAGGGCAGCTATGAACACGTGTGGCCAAACGGTGGCCACAGAGGGAGCACAGAACCCCAAGCAGCTACAGCAGAGAGTAGAGAGACTTCCGGCAAGTGCCCCAGGAACACCTGGGGCCTCCTCAGCCCGTGCCCATGGGGTTCATCCGCTGGGCTCTAGACGGGCACCTTCAGCCTCGCGGGGGCTGCTCCTGCTGCCCAGCCACACACACACCCTCTACGCTCACCTTGCACCATCAGGTTGACCACACTGTTGGCTATTCCAAAGCGGTTGGAGGCCACGCAGCGGTACGTCCCCTGGTTGGCGGGGCGTGCATTCGTGACGGTGACCACTGAGCCATTGGGGCTGATCTTCACGTTATCTGCATTGTGGGGCAAGAGGAGGCATGAGGCCGATCAGAGGGCAGTTGGCCTCATACCCCGCAGGCCTCAGAGCAGTCTTGGGCACAGGGATCGGACCCCGGGGTCAAGTTCGATCTCTCGTTTGCCATGATTTGGGGTTTGTAAGGGGAGGGAAATTCCTGGGGGGGGTGTTTTTGAGTGGCTGAGTGTGTGAACTGCTCTGTTGTAGATGTAATTCTTCCTAAGATACCCCCTTGTCCAGGGATGACCTTGGAGCCAAACTGTGCCTGCTTCCCTACGGTAGATAAAGAAACCATATATTCACAGGTGTGTGTGTGTGTGGGGGGGGGGTAGAGAGCGCGAAAGCTAGGCAGGAAGCTGGTGAAGTGTGACTGGATGTAACTGAAGGGGGCCCCCTGTTTGAACTGTCTATATCTTTGGATTCTCCCACCAGAACCTCAGTTCTGACACAGGACTGGTCTGGCCTGGAGCATGATTATTCCTCAATAAACAAACCACTGCCAGAGAGTGTTGTTGAGAGTAACGTTGTCCAGGAGTCTGACACCCGGGAGTGGTGGCTGGGCCAATCAAGGCCACCTGGAGGGATGCACCTGCGTCAGTCCTCCGCCCGGGCCCCTGGGCAAGATCCCTGCCTCCGAGGGTCAATGTCACCAGCCTCCACAGTCCTGGAATGAAGAGGAAAGACTCTCCCTCCCCGGGGCACAGAGCGAGGCCCTCCCCGCTGGCTTGACCCCCTGCCAGGCTGTTCATTTTAGAACATTTGCGCGCCAAGCCGACTCCGTGCTTATTGGCTTGCTCTTTGCCCTCTGGCCTCCAGTGCGGTCTGTCTGTCCGAGGGTGGGCTGGGAGAAACCGCCTACCTTGCAGCTGGTTGTTGGGCAGCTTCCAGGAGATCGTGACGGGCTGGGCCCCATCATGGATCCGGCACTTGAAGGCGATGTCCTCCCCTTTGCGCACCGCAGTGCTGTGGGGCTCGATGGAAATGATGGGGCTCTGGAGACCTGCCGAGACACCGCCACGGTGAGGCCACGGGCGCTGCCCACCCCCACCCCCACCGCACCGCTATCCCCACGGGAACCTCCAGACGTACGGGAAGAGGCGCTGGCGCCAGACAGCACAGAGACCACAAAGGAAGCCTCTCGGGGGGTGGCGACGCCATGCTCGCGGCACACGTATTCGCCAGAGTCAGCCGGGCTGAGGTGGACCAGCCTCAGGTGGGAGTTGGAGATCTGCGTGCAGAGGAGAGGGGAGAGGCCGGGGCTGGAGGAGGCCGTCACACCATCCAGACTCCTCCTCCGCCCATGTGTTCGGGGAGGGGGACAGGCCTTCCTAGCGGGCCAGGCCTCAGGAACGGCAAGGGTGCCCCCCACGAGGCGCCTGGCCAACTGGCCCTAAGGACCGCCTCACCCCCAGTCAGTCCCCAGCAGCACCAGCGACCGTCTCTGCACCTGGTGAGTGGCAGGCAGAGCGCCCCCTCGGCGATGCCAGGTGAACGTGGCGTGGGGCTGGCCTGGGGCAACGCAAGTCAGATCCAAGGTCTGTCCTTGAACGGCGGAGGGCGACGAAGGCTCGATTCTCAGAGGGGGGGCAGCGGCTGAAGCGGCAAAGGGGAGAGCAAGAGGGTCGGCCGTCGTGCCCCCAGCAAGGCGTGGCACCACAGCCCCCCGCACCAAGGAGAGGGGAGCGGGTCAGGGCGCCAGGACTCACGATGAGACGAGCTATCGCTGTCTTGGATGGTGACCACCAGCACAGCCTCCTGGGTGACCGCAGCGCCGCTGACGCGACAGACGTACTCTCCCGAGTTGGCCGAGGAGACCTGTGGGATGCGCAGGCGTGTGCCCACCACCTGCCCGGGGGGGAAGGGCGAGAGTCTTGCCTGGGGGCCGGTGGGGGAGGAGGCCTCGTTTTCCCCTGCCCGGACTCTGCACCCTCCGGGGTCACAGGGAATGCTGCAGCCCCACCTCGCCCCACCCCGAAATCCTGTAGCCAGAGGGACCAAAGCACCCACAAACTCTGGGGCTCTCCAGGATGGCAAAGGGGCCATGCCCAGAAAAGGGGCAGTCTGGGTACATCTCCATACCTGGTGGTTGGCTGGGAGGGCACCCCCCCTCTTGAACCACGTGACTTTGGGCTGTGCCTGACCGGCAACGAGGCAGTTCAGCTCCAAGGTCTGTCCTTCCATGAGAGACGAGGATGACGACTCAATCCTCACCGGTGGGACGACGACAGAAGCTGCCGGAGGCCACCCAGACAGAAGAGGTGTTGACAGGCGGCCAGGACACCTCCCTGCTGCCCCGCCCACCTCCCCCACCCCAGGCAGCATCCGCAGGCCCCCTCCTTCCTGCTGCTGGGAAGCTCCCTCTCTGTACTGGGCTCCCTGCACCCCTGCGGGGGAGAAGGGAAGCCCCGGCACCTCCCTCCCCTATCGGAGCTCCAGGCAGGGACCTGTGAAGGGATTCTACGGCAGGGAGCGTGCACAGGGGAATCCAGGGCAGGAGTCACGGCCCAGGGAGGAGAGGGTGATGCTCCCGGGGGTGTAAGGGACACAGGGTCACCACACCGGGCAGAGACCCAGGACTGCCGCAGGACTTCGCCTCCCCCAGCCCTCCTGCTCCTGTCCTCCATCTCTCGCCCCCCGCCCTTTCCCACCGGGAGCCGCCAAACACTCTCCGCCCCACGGAAGCCCCCGGAGCAGAGGGGGTGCCACAGAAATGGCCTTCCACCCACTCAGGCCAATATCGCAGCACCGAGACCTGCCGGGAGCCCTGGAGGCACACGTACGGTAAGTGGAGGCGGCACTGCTGGGGACAGAGACGATGACCGAGGCCTCCAGGGGGTGGCCGCCATCGTTCACATAGCAAATGTACTCTCCGGAGTCACTCGTGGAGGCCTGCAGGATCCTCAGGCGTGTTCCAAGGATCTGCCGGCAGAGAGAAAGCGGGGAGATGGACAGATCGCTAGGTTCCTCTTAGCCAACGGGGCTCCAGTGCAGCCCTTGGAAAGACCTGCCTCCCTCCTCCATGTCCTTCCCCCTGGCCTAGCTCACTCGGCTCTCCTCAGAGCTGGCCATCTTTCCGGCCCTGGAACTCTCCAGTCCCGTATGGTTTGCAGTCCCCCCACCCCCCACTTTCCTTGGCCTGAAAGGACTCCACCACTCTTCCCCCCGAGGGGGGGGGGCTCTTGAAGACCACACTGACAGCCTTCAGTCCTCCACCTGCCTCTCCCCTCCCCTCCCCTCCCCTGGTCTTCCTTACCTGGCTGTTGACGGGCAGGGCACCGCCTCGCTTGTACCACATGACCTGGGCCTGAGACTGACCCGCAACCAAGCAATTCAGATCCACCGTCTGTCCCTCAACTACAGAGGAGGACGAGGTCTCGATCCGTATTGGGGGGGTGACACCCACAGCTGGAAAAGCCGGAGGGGAAAAAGGGTGGAATGGGGACCGTGGCATCTTCCACATGCCGGCGTTCTGGTCCAGCTTTGGTGCCACTGTGAATGTGCCAATGGAGCTTTCGCGTGCTTCCTGGCTTCCCCCCAAGCTCTTCGCAATTCTGCCTAAACCTGCTTTCCTAGGATGTTTTGGGAAAGGTCACAGTAATCCTGGGGTGGACACCCCGCAAACAAGGCAGTTCAGATCTTTCCTGCCTGCACAGGTGCTGCTCCCCCCTCACGTCCCCACCCCCCCAACCTGCCCCCCCCCCCCCCCCCCCCCCCAGAGAGCCTGCTCAGGTTTTTTAGAAACTGGTGACTGACATAATAGTGCTAAAAAGAGATGTCAACTACCAGTATTTAAAAACAACAACAACAACAAGAAGAAGCCTGTTCTGGGTGGTTCCCAGGTGGGGTCAGACGTATGCAGTTTCCCCACTCGTGGCAATGGGGCTTCCACGGGGCAGGCATCCCCACAGTTTCTGCGCCCCGGTTCCTCAGCAGAGGCCACCCCCACTCTCCTGGGGCACCAAGACCTATTCAGTTTCTTTTTAAACTGGCAACTGAATGTCATATCGATAAAACATTATAAGAACAGGCTGTGGAAGGTAGGTAGTTCAGCTGTTCGAGACCCGAGTGTGCCGCATGACGGAGTGAGCTCCCATCTCTAGTTCCAGCTCCTGCCAACCTAGCAGTCTGAAAGCAAGACATTGCAAGTAGATAAATAGGTACCACTTCAGTGGGAAGGGAACAGCGTTCCGTGCGCCTTGGTGTTCAGTCATGCCGGCCACATGACCACGGAAACGTCTTCGGACAGCGCTGGCTCTTCGGCTTTGAAGCCGAGATGAGCACCGCAACCCTAGAGTCAGATTCGACTGGCTTTCAAGTAAGGGAACCTTTACCTTTACTAACGCTGACGCAGAGAGTACTCCCTCTTTCTGTGTTATTCCTCTGAGGATGCCAGTCACAGCTGCTGGTGAAACGTCAGGTCCTACAATGCCAAGACCACGGCCACACAGCCCGGAAAAAACTACAGCAACTAATATGTGTAACAGCTTTTCTGAATTGAACGCACACGCGAAGCGGCCTCACACAGAATCAGACCTTCGTTCCACGGAGACCAGCAGCCGCTCTCCAGGGTCTCAGGCACAGAAAGGCCTTTCCCATCACCTCCTGCCTGGTCCTTTTAACTGGAGACACTGCCGGGGATTGAACCTGGGGCCTCCTGTATGCCAAGCAGAGGCTCTGCTCCCAGGAGTAAGGGTCCCTCCCTGAATTCTCAGTTTTCATTTAAAAAGTATGTTTCTGTCACCTCGTGTTGTGGAGCTACAACCTTTCCCCTTATGCTTCGACAGAGGAAGGGGGTAGAGACTTGCTTTTTTAAAAATGGAGGCTGGGAATTTAGAGAACCTGTTACACATCTTGTTATAATGTTGTATCGATACAGTGATATTCAGCTGCTGGTTTTTTAAAAAGCCCCTCCCCGATGGTAGGGGAGGGAAAAGACCGCCGTTGGGACAGGGTCTGGGGAAATGGCTGCCCCCCCCCCCCCCCCCCACAGCAGCCGCCCAGCCTTCACTCTGATCTCTCCCGAAACTTCACAGCAAAGCAGGTTTGAGAAAGACTCGGGGAAGGTTTGAGAAACCCCAGGAGGTGCACAGACGCGACACACTGCTGGGAGGGAGCAAGGGAAAAACCTGCCTCCCAGCAGCACTGAATCCAGGGCAGACAGTCTGCATGGGGAACGCTCTGGTGGGAGGTGGGAGGGAACAGGAGCTGTGGTGAGGGAGCATGCAGACCCCCACCCCCTGTGGAAGTGCCACGGCCACGTTTAAGCAGCAGCAGCAAGAAGGAAACCCAGAGAGAGAGAGAGAGAGAGCGGCTAGGGTGGGCTGGGGCCCGGCAGGGAACCATCCCACCGGCTTCCACTCGTCCTTCCGCGACCCAGGGCCAGCGAGCCTCTCTATCCCAGCCGGAGCCCTGCGGCTGGGGCGGCGCTTTGGAGGCGAGAGCCACAACTTACAGTAAGCAGAGCCCAGGCCGCCCTGGATGGTGACAATGAGGGAGGCCTCGTGCACAGCCGTGCCATTGCTGACGCGGCAGACGTACTCCCCGGAGTCCGCGGTCGAGGCCTGGGGGATGCGCAGGAGGGAGCCGGAGACCTGGGGGGGGGGGACACGACGGAATCAGCGGCACCGGGGAGCCACAAGCCACTTGGATGTACTGATTGCTTATCAAGGTTCGGTTCAATGTGTTTGAGAATTTAATTTGTGATCCGCTCTGAGCCCGCTTGTGGGGAGGGTGGAATATACATTCAAATAAATAAATAAAAGGCAAGAAGGGCCCCCCCTCACTGATGCCGATGCTGAGTCTCACGGCCGATCCCCACCCCAGAAAGTCCACCAGTCCCTCCCCACCCCCGGAGCAGGGGAGAGTTCTGGCCCAGACCCCATGCCCCCCCTGTCTCTGTACCTGGTGGTTGGGGGGGAGGGGCCCTCCTCGCCTGTACCACGTCACGCTGGCCTGCGAGGGGCTTGCCACCAGGCACGTCAGGTCCAGCGTGTGTCCCTCCGCAGGGGAGGTGGAGGACGACTCAATTCGCACTGGAGGCGTCACCCCGGGGGCTGCAAGAGAGACACATCCAGGTAGGGCAGACGTGAGAACCTCAGAAGCCCCCCCCCCGGATTGGACCAGGATGGCACCCTTGTGTGGCCAGCCAGCAAGGACGAAGGCAAGGGCGCTCCCCGCAGGGCAAAGGGCAGGCCTGCCAGGGGGAACTCAGACTTACGGAAGGAGCCAGAGCTGCCCTCCCTGATGCTGACAAAGACAGAGGTCTCCTGGGTGGTGGCACCGTAGCTGATGCGGCAAACATATTCGCCAGAATCCCCTGGGGAGACCTGCACCAGCCGCAGGCGAGATCCAAAGGCCTGGAAGGGAGGAAGCCGTGGAAAGATGCAGGGAGAAAACAAAGAGGCCAGAACGGGAGATCAGGCTGCCTGCTGCACCCAAAAAACCACACTAAAGCTGGCGCGGGACACACGGGCTACGAATGACTGAGCTTCCATTCAGCTACTCCCCTTTCGAATCCCCCCCACACGCTCTGGGGGGGGGGAGTTCCAAGCCCTCAACTTGCCACCTGCAAGATGGGGAGAAGAGCAGCGGCCTGCACTGCAGGGCTCGCTTGAGAAGAGGGCAGCCAAGGTGACGAAGGGGTTGGAGCAGCTTTCCGAAGAGGAGAGGCTGGGGAGCCTGGGTCTTTTCAGGTTTTCTGTTGTAAAAAAGATGCTAAAGCTTTATAAAATTATGCGGGAGTGGTGGAGAAAGTGGATGGAGCGAGCTCTTTCTCCCATAATACTAGAACTTGGGGTGAATTTGATGGGTGACATATTCAGGACAGATAAAAAGCAATACCTCTTTACTCAACGAGTAATTAAACTGTGGAATAATTCACGGCCAGAGGATGTAGTGATGGCCCAGAGCACAGCTGGCCTTTAAATGGGGTTCGACAAGTTCATGGAGGACGGGTCCATCAATGGCTACTAGTGATGTGGACCAAAGGGAACCTCTCTGGATCCCAGTGCCAGGAGGCAACATCAGGGGACAGCCTTGGCCTCTCCGGTTGGCCATCATGTGAGACAGGATGCTGGATTAACTCATGGAATTCGCTGCCACAGGAGATGGTGGCAGCTACAAGCATGGGCGGCTTCAAGAGGGAATTGGATAAACATCTGGAGCAGAGGTCCATCCGTGGCTATTAGCCACAAGGAATAGATAGGAACTCTCAGGCTGGGGCAAGGGATGCTCTGTATTCTTGGTGCTTGGGGGGGCAACAGTGGGAGGGCTTCTAGTGTCCTGGCCCCACTGCTGGACTTCCTGAGGGCACCTGGTATTTTTGGCCACTGTGTGACAGAGTGTGGGACTGGATGGGCCATTGGCCTGCTCCAGCATTGGTTTCTCTTCGGTTCTTATGTCCTTAAGGCATAGATAGGAGCTCTCAGTCTGGGGCAAGGGATGCTCTGTATTCTTGGTGCTCGGTGGAGGGCAACAGTGGGAGGGCTTCTAGTGTCCTGGCCCCATTGCTGGACCTCCTGATGGCACCTGGTATTTTTGGCCATTATGTGACAGAGTGTTGGACTGGAGGGGCCATTGGCCTGATCCAACACTGGCTTCTCTTAAGTTCTTATGTCTGGGGCAAGGGATGCTCTGTCTTCTTGGTGCTTGGGGGGGACAATAGTGGGAGGGCTCCTAGTGTCCTGGCCCCACTGCTGGACCTCCTGATGGCACCTGGTATTTTTGGCCACTGTGTGACACAGAGTGTTGAACGGGATGGGCCATTGGCCTGATCCAGCATTGGCTTCTTTTAGGTTCTTATGTTCTTATAACTAGATGGACCCTCACTGGTCTGACCCAGCAGCGTGCTTCTGATGTGACAGCTCGGTATTGTGATCGCTGTTATCCTCAGCCTGGCCCTTCAATCTTGACCTCCCTTCTGTTTCTCCAGGACAGAAGCCCAGATCTGGTTGCTAATCGTGCCGCTTGAATAGAGCACGGGATATGCTGACTGCTGCATGGAGCATTCAGGCAGAGCCCTGGAGCCCCCCCCCCCCCAGCGATGGACCCGTTTCTGCATTCTGGGCACGCCCCGGCTGGGGCTCCCGCACCTGGTGGTTGGCCGGCAGGGACCCGCCACGCTTGTACCACATCACCGTGGCCTGCTCCCGGTGGGCGGCAGTGCAGTCCAGCTCCAGGGTTTGCCCTTCTGCGACCTGAGGTGAGGAAGCCTCGATCTTCATGGAGGGTGTGATGTCTAGGGCTGCAGGAAGCGGGGCGAGAGAGCAGTGTGAGGACAGAGCCAGCCGAGGGGACCCCGGGCCCGGCACAGGCTTCTGCGGGGCTCTGGCGCCCACTTACTGGAGGAGGAGGAGGAGGAGCCCGTCCTGCCGACAATGATGGAGGCTTCTCGGATGACGGAATCCAGGTTGACGTGGCAGACGTACTCCCCAGAGTCAGCGGGGGAGGCCTGGGGGATGCGCAGGTGGGAGCCGGAGACCTGGGGAGGGGGGCCCGAATGCACTCCGTCAGTCAAAGCAGCCCTGGCGTTAAGGGTGTGTGCGTGTGTGTGTGTCCCAGTCCACTCCCCCAGGAGCCTCCTGACTTTTCCTCTGCCTTAGGGAGGCAGCAGAGAAATACCCCGGGTACCGCTGGGGACCAATGCTGTGCAGCCTCGTGAGCAAGAATTCTACTCCATGAGCCACTGGCCTAAAAAGTGGTGAGCGAGCCATTTGGCTGCTGCATACATTCGTTTGCTCCGGAGCCCTCCTTCCTGAGCTAAGGCAAAAATGTGTGAGCCGGAGGCTAAGAAATTGTGAGCTGGCTCACACTCACTCAGCTTAGAGGGAACACTGCTGGGGACCCCCCCCCCCTACTCTGCCCCAGCCGAGCAAGATGGCCCCCTGGAATGAAAAGGAGGTCACTCTCCAAGCACTGCTGGCGCCTGGGGGGAAAGCTCGGAGTCGCCACCCCAGAGACCAAGAAGCGGGCAAGGGAAGGGGGGGGGGGAGAACATCCCTAGATCACACAGCAGCCGATGTACCTGGTGACTGGCTGGCAGGGTCCCGCCTCTCTTGTACCAGGTGACGGTGGCGCCCGGCTGGCCAGCAACGACACAGTGGAGATCCAAGGTCTGCCCTTCCACAAGAGTGGGGGACGAAGACTCGATCCTTACAGGCGGGGTGACGCCGGAGGCTGGGGAGGCAGAGGGCGGGGTCAGAGCAGGCCCCAGGCTCTGTGGCACCCTGCCTCTCACGTCTCTCCAGGGTGGGCGGCCCAAGGCCCAACGCTGGGCACCAGGAACTCCACCAGGCGGAGCGGCCACTGCAGCCCCTCTCTTTCCAGGGCAGGGAGGAGGCAAAGAGGCCCAGAGTCCTCCACTGGCCGCCTTGAAGGACTCGTGGCCAGCTTACGTGACATGCCTCTCCCCCGCTCGCCCCTCGCCGGCCCCTGGCCTCCCAGGTCCCTGAAGAGCACCATCCCTCTGTCAATTGTGCCTCAGCATCCGGGCCCTAAGCAGCAGGCTGGCCGAGGGGATTGAGCCCATCGACAGGGGCCCAGGCCCCAAACGCCAGCCACAGAGGAGAGAGGGCTTGGGGCTCACTTTGGGAGGCGCTGTAGACGGTGACCACGACAGAGGCCTCCTGGGTGCTGCCACTGCTGCCGCTGCTGCTCACCCGACATACGTACTCGCCAGAGTCTGCTGCTGAGGGCTGAAGAATCCGCAGGCGGGAGCCAGAAATCTGGGCGGGGGGGAGGGAGAGGGGGGGGTGAGCTGAGGGGCGAGAGGCAGCCCCGGGCAAGGAGGCAGGAAGGCACGGTGGGACGCTCCAACCAAAACGGGCATACCTGGTGACTGGCAGGGAGCGCTCCCCCGCGCTTGTACCACGTGACTCGGGGCTGTGACTGTCCAGCGACAAGGCAGTTCAGGTCCAGGGCCTGTCCCTCGGGGACGGAGGACGACGGAGATTCGATGCGGACTGGAGAGACTTCTGGCGAGACAGGGGACACGGCGTGAGGGAAGCGGGCAGGACAGGACCCCCTCTTGCCGGGACCGGGAGGGCCCACGCCTCTTCTCTCTAAAACGGCCTCTCCTCTCGCAGCTGTTGGGCTGGGGACCACGGATCTGCCCCCAAGCAGAAGTCCTTTCCTCCAGCAGAAGGAGCTCTCCTCGGATGCAAGACGCACCAGGGAAAGGCTCCTTCCATGACAGAAAAGCACCCCCACCGGCAAGATGGATTTGCAGGATCCATCCCGTGGAAGAGAACCATCATCCGGAAATCCACCACTGCTTATTCAGACCTTGCTTTTCCAGCAAAGACTGGCTCCCAAAGAGGACTGCAAAACTTTAAATCATCACAAAACAGGCAGAGACAGCCAATGAAACGGAGATCGAAAGCTGTGGCGACTGGGCCAAGCCTCTAAATCGCAAGGCGCGTTCAGGGGGCTGGATGTGGGGCTTGGTTTGGCAGGAGACATCCAGTTTGTTTTGAGGTCACCCCAGGGGGCAGCAGAAAGGGGCAGTGGCACCAAGCAGAGGCTCTCAGGGCTTCCCAGCCCCCCAGGGGCCCAAAGGGGCCGGGGCTTACGATGGGGACCTGGCTGTCTCCCTCCCCCAGACACTCCTCGCCAGCTTGGACGGGATGCGTTGGGGCCCCTGACCCCCTGCCCACCACCGCAGGAGAGGGAGAGAAGGGCCCCCCCAGAGCCGGGAGCCCCTGCCACGGGAGCCCTACCCGGTGAGGATCCGGAGCTCTGCTGGACAGTCACCGTGATGGAGGCTTCCTTGGGGCCAGCGCCGTTGCTAATTCGGCAGACGTATTCGCCAGAGTCGGCTGCGGAAATGTGCAGGATCCGCAGATGTGGCCCATAGACCTGGGGAGGAGGTTTGAAAGAGGCTCTTGGGGGTGGCTCTCGGCCGCCGAGGGCCCCGGTTCACTGGGAGCAAACGGCCTTCCTCCCGGGACAGAGGGAGCGGGACCTGCCACCAGCTTCTGCCCCCGCAAGAGTGCCCATCAGCATGCCCTGCACAGGAGCCCGGTGCCCAGAGCTCTCCCTGCCCGGCCGCCCACTTCCTTGTGGCTGCGTGGAGGGGGGTACCTGGTGGCCGGCTGGCAGGGACCCTCCTCGCCGGTACCACGTCACCGCCCCAGCTGCTTGGCCAGCCACGATGCAGTTCAGATCCAGTGTCTGACCTTCGACAACCGACGATGAAGATGACTCAATCCTCACGGCCGGGGGAGCGCCTGCGGCTGCCAGGACCAACGGGGAGAAAGTCCGAAACCTGCCGTGTGTTCAGGATGCCCCGGAGAGCTTTGGCTGGGTGCCGTCAGACCCCCCCCCCCCAGGCGTGGGCGTGGGTGTGCAGCTGAAGGGAGCAGGAGACCCCTCACCTCGGGTGACCTCCACCTCAATCCGTGCTTGGCCAACTCCCGCCGCACTCCTCCCCACACACAGGTACACCCCACCGTCTGCGGTGCTGATGGAGGGGATCACCAGGGTGCCGATGTCCGTCCTCTCTTCGCGGGACTGCAAGCAGGAAGGAGAGTCACGGGGCACTCCCGGCACCACGGCGGAGCACCCAGGCCCCACACACAGGGTGGCGGCAGCAGAGGGGGGCACACAGGGCGGGGCTGTGCAAAAAGGAGACCCCAACAAACGATCCACGGACGAGACTAAAACCATGACTGTTAAACCACAGCAAAGACAAGGATGTGCGGAACGGGGTTTCTTTGGTGGAGGAGAGGAGGCGGGTCAGGGTTAAGGAGACGTTGTCCCTGGCTCGCTGTACAGGGAAGATCCAGCTGCCCCCGCGGGGGGGGGGGGGGGGGGGAGGAGACAGAGGGAGGTCAGCTGAGCACACACACCCCCATGGACCTCGGACACTTGGGGTCACCCCGGCCGGATGAGAAAACGCTCTGCCCCCGACTTCTCACTGGAGAATCAGACAGGAAGCGAGACAGAGAGAGACCAGCAGGGAAGGCAGAGGGCAGCTGGCAGACGCACCACAGCAACAGCAGCAGCAGGGACCAGATCGTGCTGGGGAGGGGCGAGGAGGCTACCTGCTGGAGCTCCTGGATCCGCTGCCGGAGAACTTCCAGGCTGCCCCCTTGGAAGTGGAAGAAGCCAAAGATGGCAGCAGCCTAGCCAAGGCGAGAGAGAGGCAGAGAGGGCGGCCGGAGAGAGAGAGAGAGAGAAGGAAGGAAGGGGAGCATTAAAGGAACTGCTCTGTCAGGTCACCACAGGCCCTTGCCTGAACCTGGCCCAGGATCATGGATTTCCTTAAGACGCAACTTCAGGAGCCAGAACTCGGGATGCAAAGGCAGGGACATTTGGGCGCGAAGGATGTCCCAGGATCCCCCTGCTCTGGGCCTCGCTGGCCACCCTCGCCAAGCTCAGGAAGGTCCTCTCCCCACAGGGCAGACTGACCCTGGGCCTCTCTCCCTGCTGGGAACGGCTTGGCTGACTTGCTCGAGCCACCCGGGGAAGTCTGCTCCCGGCCTCCCGAGCGCCACCTGGGCTTGATGCCGTCCCAGGGGTCCCAGCCAGGCCACCGTCACCCACACCTGGACGAGCTGGGGCAAAAAGGCAGGAATCCCCACCCGTAACTCTGGCTGCAGCCCTGTGACCGGAGAGGCTCTGGAGCCCCAGGAAGGGAGGGGAGCGTGTGAGAACGAACCACGCTGAGCCAGGCCAGAAGGGACATCCCAGAAGCCACGACACCTCCAAAGGGAAGGCTTCATTCTTAGCCGACTTAACTTCCCTCTATCATGTCCCGGGCAAATCAAACCCCATGCCTGTTTTTCATGCTAGCAGAAGGAAAGATAATAAAGAGGGCAGTGCCTACGAGCATGTACAGAGTGCCTTCGCCTCACCACTAAACCAGCAGAGACTCCCTTTGGGACACTCTTCTTGGAACAGAGTGGTACAGGGTTGGAGTGTCAAGTAAAAAGTAAAGGTAAAGGTTTCCCTTGCTCGAAAGCCAGTTGAATCCGACTCTAGGGGGCGGGGGTGCTCATCTCCGTTTCCAAGCCGAAGAGCCAGCGCTGTCCAGAGACGTTTCCGTCGTCATGTGGCCGGCGTGACTAAATGCCGAGGTGCACGGAACGCTGTTACCTTCCCACCAAGGCGGTACCTGTTTATCTACTTGCAGTTTCTTGCTTTCAAACGGCTAGTTTGGCAGGAGCTGGGGCCAGAGATGGGAGCTCACTCCGTCACGTGGCACTCGGGTCTCAAACTGCCGAACTACAGACCCTCCGGTCTGCAGCTCAGCGTCTTAACCTCTGCGCCACCACGGCCCCTTAGAGTGTCAAACCAGGATCCGAAACACCCAGGTTCAAATCCCCACTGGCTCACAGAAGCTCACGGGCTGAGCTTGGGACAGTCGCACTGTCTCAAACTAACCTACCTCACAGGGTCGTTGGTGAAGGTAAAATGGAGGAGAGAAGAACAAAGTAAGCCCATCGTGGAGAAAGTTGAGGTATAAATGAAGTGCAGAAACAAAGAGACGGAATGACTCCCCATTAGCACTGCCCCCCCCAAAGCATACAAAGGGGCGCCCCTCCTCCACCTGGCAGGTACCCGGGGTCTCCCTCCCCCTCCCCAACCGTACCTGTGGCGGCAGAGTGCCCCCTTGCTTCTCCCAGGTGATGGTGGCAGCGGGGGATCCGGCCGCCCGGCAATACAGCCGCACTGTGCTGCCCTCCTGCACCTCCGTGCGCTCCGGGCTCACCTGCACCTGAGGCACGCCAGCACCTGCCACAGAGCAGAGCAGCGCCTGGTGAGGCCTCCTCCAACCCCCCCCCTTCGGGATCCTAGATGGGGGCCTAAAGGCAGAGCCCATGCGGCGTGGGGGAGAGGAAGGGACTGCCAGGCTCTTGGGGTAGCGGCAGCAGCAGCAGCTCCACCTGCTTCCTCTCTGAGCCCCTCCTGGGGAGGCAGGTGGGTGCTGTCTCTTTTTGCCAGGAAAAGTAGCTCTGGATGACAGGCAGGCAGTCTGGTTGTCCGTGGGGGGTGAAGCCCAGCCTGCAGAGTCATCCCCTCTTGGGGGCAGGTGGAGAGCCAGCTGGAACGCCAGTCGGCAGTGGCGGCAGCTCTGTTTCTGCCTTTCTGCACAGAGCCGAGCAGCAAAGAAGTGGAACGGGCCGGGCAGTCGGTCTTCGGAGGAGGGGGGAGAGGCAGCTCCAGGGCAGCTGCTGCCCAGCCCTCCCCACCCCCGCCCCACGTACTCTGCACTTGCAAGAAGGCCCGGGCCATGTGCTGTCCGGCGCTGTTCCGCACGCGGCACAAGTACTGCGACTCGTCAGAAGGCTCCACGGCCGGGAAGCGCAGGATCCCTCGCTGGATCAGAGCCTTGGGGGGGATGACACCCCCTTGTCCACCTGCAGCAGAGATCAAAGCTTGAGCGGGGACACCCGGGCCCCGCCGGCGACCCATTCCCAGGCTCTGGCAGGAACAGGCAGGCCCCGGGAGGCAGCTGTGCCGGGCGTGGGCCTCTCCTCTTGCCAAGCAAGGGACCTCCTACGGGCAACAGCTCTGCAGACTGCCTGGAGAGCCCTCTGGGAACGCAGCTGGTTTAACGTGCTAAATAGGTCACGGCACTCATGCGGTGCTCTTTGCACAGACCCATCTCGGAGTTTGCAAGCGCCAAAAGAACTCCTGGCTGCCGGCAACAGCGGCCACCAGAGGGAGCAGAAGAGCCTCATGTGGGTATGGGGCAGGCTCCGCCCCTGACTAAGCCCACCTGCCCCTCTTGGCTCCAGACCACTCTGGCCGAAGAGAGAGGGCTTCTGTCAGAGCACTGCTTACCTATCCATTCCACCGTAGGCTGGGGGTTTCCTGTAGCGATGCAGCGGAACTCGGCAGGCTGGCCTGGCTGGACGCTCAGCTGCGAGGGCTGGACGGTGGCCATGGGGGGGACGGCGGATCCAGCTGCAGCAGGAAGGGAGGAGGTGGGCTTCAGGGGGGGGAAATCCAGGCTGGGGTGTGCGGGGAGCCAAAGATGGCTCCTGACCTTCAACTCCCGGGTCCAGGAAAGAGGCCATGCCATGCGGTTGCAAACCAGCCCTCGGGGACAGTGAAACATGCACAAGAGAAGCCCCGGTTCCGTCTGACAAGTGGGGCAGAAGGCAGTCGGAGGAAACGCCTCCCTTTCCCCCAGCGGCCTTGGCACATGCTCGTGTGTCAGGGGAGGGGGCCTTCATGCCAGAGAGCCCCTCGCAGGGCAGCGCGGGAGGCAAGTCAGCGCCTGCAGGGCCGGGCTCGGGGCATGCAGTGGCCGCCCAAGCCGACTTACAGGGTCTGTGGCCTTCCAGCACTTCTACCGGTCCATAGAACATCTGAGTCTTAGACGGAGCTGCAAACGAGGGACAACGTCGGACACAGACCCAGGTGGGAAAAGCACGCATGCCGGGTGCGCCTCACAGTCCCACGGGCACCTCTCGCCTTTCTGAAGTGCTGGAGGCGGGCAGGCAGGAGGTGGGAGGGAGAAGTGACAGACGGGGACCAGAAGGGAGGCTGAGAAAATCTTGAAGGATTCCCCCCCACAAACACACACGCAATACTTTGTTTTGTGCCCCTTTATCACAAGCTCAAGGAGAGGCAGACCGGCCCTGGCGGCAGAGTGAAGAGTCGCATCAGAGAATCCGCAGCAAGGCAAAGAGGCCTCCTGCACGGTGGATCGACAAGAACCCAGCGATCACGCAAGGCCCCAGGTGTTTGGTGCTGGTCAGAGAGGCAGTTGCCCAAGTGCAGCATCAAAGCCACCCTTTTGCCCACATGGTGGAGGGAGCAGGATGCAGGCAGCCCCAGAAATGCCTCCTTCGGGAGGGGGCCCCAGCCCCTGCTTGACATCAGACAAGGGCAGTGTGTGGAGTGGGCACCCCTTCTCTCTCACCTGAACCCCCGAAGCTGCCTTAGGCTGACTCAGACCTTTTTGGCCCATCAAGGTCAGTCTTGTCTACTCAGAGTGGTAGCCGCTCTCCAAGGTCTCAGGCAGAGATCTTTCCCACCACCTCCTACCTGGTCCTTTGAACTGGAGATGCTGGGGATTGAACCCGGGACCTCCTGCGTGCCGAGCAGAGGCTCTTCCACTGAGCTATGGCCCCTCTCCATGACTCTCCAGGGTCTCAGGCAGAGGTCTTTCCCATCCCCTCCTGCCTGGTCCTTTCAACTGGTGATGCTGGGGATTGAACCTGGGACCTCCTGCATGCCAAGCAGAGGCTCTGCCACTGAGCCAAGGGCCCCTCCTCCTCTCCTTTTCTGTGTGCCCGTGTAGAAGCCTGAGGTGGACGGCGCAGGGGGACGGGAGTGGTGTGCAGTCGAGGGGTGTTCAGGCACAAGCATGCGGTGCCCCACAGACCCACCTGGCACGTAGAGGGTGGCGATCCCCTCGTCCATGTCAAACATGTTGGACCCGGTGCAGACGTAGATGCCGGCGTCCTGGGGCTGCACGTTGCGGATGGTGAGGATACCATTGAAGTCCATGGCCCGGCTGGGCAGCTTGCCGTGGTTCTGCCGTGTCCACACCAGCGTGTAGGCAGGGGACTGCGGAAACGGCGAGAGGGTGAGCAAGAACTCGTGGGCACTCCATGAAACTGCAGAGCGGTCGGGTTAGAACGGATAAAAGGAAGTACTTCTTCACCCAAAGAGTGATTAACACATGGAATTCACTGCCACAGGAAGTGGTGGGTGCTACAAGCATGGACGGCTTCAAAAGGGAATTAGATAAGCATATGGAGCAGAGGTCCATCAGTGGCTATTAGCCACAAGGTATAGCTAGGGGCTCTGGGGCAAGTGATGCTCTGTCTTCTTGGTGCTTGGGGGGGGGGGTCAACAGTGGGATGGCTTCTAATGTCCTGGCCCCACTGCTGGACCTCCTGATGGCACTGGTATTTCTGGCCACTGTGTGACACAGAGTGTTGGACTGGATGGGCCTTTGCCTGATCCAACATTGGCGTCTCTTAGGAGCACCGGCAGCATGGTTCCAAGCCCCAAAAGCCCACCACACTGCACAAGACAAGAACTCCTTGTGGGCACTCCATGAAATTGCTGAGCAGTCGGGTTAGAACGGATAAAAGGAAGTCCTCCTTCACCCAGAGAGTGATTCACACGTGGAATTCACTGCCACAGGAGGTGGCGGCGGCTACAAGCATGGACGGCTTCAAGAGGGCATTGGAGAAGCATATGGAGCAGAGGTCCAACAGTGGCTATGAGCCACAAGGTATAGATAGGGACTCTCGGTCTTGGGCAAGGGATGCTCTGTCTTCTTGCTGCTTGGGGGGTGGGGGGGCAACAGTGGAGGGGCTTCTGGTGCCCTGGCCCCACTGCTGGACCTCCTGATGGCCCCTGGTATTTTTGGCCACTGTGTGACAGACAGAGTGTTGGACTGGATGGGCCATTGGCCTGATCCAGCTTTGGCTTCTCTTACGTTCTCTTACGTTCTTATGACTGGCCGGCCAGGTGGCGCTCGCCCTGCTGGCAGAACAGACTCAGCCCTCGGAGGCCCCGTGGCACATGGGCTTCTGCAGCCTGGGGGTGGTAATCTGGGGGTGGTAATCTGGGGCCACCTCTCTGGGCCACGGGCAAAGGGTGCCAAGTTGCTGCCCTGTGGGACACTCGGAGCCCTCCGCTCCACACAAGCGCCAAGCCATGCCGCTCTGTTCCTCACGCGGTGTGAGCACAACCCACCCCCCACCCCACCTGGACCTTTGGCCAGGGGGTTCCAGCTGAAGGCACAGATCCAGGCTGCCCAGGGGGGTGGGAGCTGGCAGAGGAGTGGGCGTTGGGCCAGCCAGGATGGCCGAGGGTGCCCCCCCCGGGGCGTCTGCGGCTCTGCTGCTGCCGGCCTCCTCCATCCTGTCCCAGGCAGCAGTTCTCTGTGGGGCCTGGAAGCAGCTCCTTGACACAGAGAGGGCCTCCCCACCCCCATGGCTCAGCCAGACCTCCCCTGCTGGCAGGGCCCACAGCAAAGCGGAGTGTGAAGAAGAAGAGATTGGATTTATACCCCCTTGCCCTTCACTCGGAGTCTCAGAGCGGCTTACAAACTCCTTTCCCTTCCCCTCCCCACAACAGACACCCTGTGAGGTGGGTGGGGCTGAGAGAGCTCTGGCAGAAACTGCTCTTTTTCGAGAACAGCTGTGCCAGAGCTTGTGACTGACCCAAGGTCACATCAGCAGGTGCAAGCGGAGGAGTGGGGAATCAAACCCGGTTCTCCCAGATTAGAGTCCGCACACTTAACCACTACACCAAACTGGCTCTTAACCACTACACCAAACTGACTCCAGACACACACACACGCCCGCCCATGTGCGCCTCCGGGGAGGCCTCACCTTGCTCTTGGCCGTGCAGACAAAGGTGACGTCACTCCCCGGCTGGACGGTCTGCACCTTCTTCTCCTCGACTGTCACCGTGATGGGCTTGCTGGGCGCTTCTGTGGCGGGAAGCAGGGAGGGATGAGCCCTTCCCGCCTCCCCACCACCATTTTCCGGGGGGCCCCCTTCCCATCCCACTCAGTGGGCCGGGAAGGACACCCCCACACTCGTCCTGAGGCTGGCAAAGAGCCCCACGCCCCCCCCTTGCCCCGCGGTGCCTCCAGACAGCACGGGTGGCTCCCACTTGTGTACCACCCAGCTGCAGGCTCACGGACATATAGCCTAACATGAACGGAATATACACCATGAGATGGCAACAAATATGCATAGGCTCTTCTTTAAATTTACTTGTAAATAATGTAACGGTGCTCAATGGAACTTAATATCATATACCATCCTTGCTATTTGTCTTTTGTAGTACTTGTATTGATACAAATAACAAGGATGGTATGTGATATTAAGTTCCATTGAGCACCGTTACATTATTTACAAGTAAATTTAAAGAAGAGCCTATGCATATTTGTTGCCATCTCATGGTGTATATTCCGTTCATATTCCACCCGTGTACACCAGCCCCCCTCCCCCGCACTCTGGGGCCTGAGCGACATCCCTTTGGCTTCGGAAGAGACCGGCCGTGGGGTGTGACGCGGGCCTCTTCCTGCATGATCCCCCTTTCCTCCCCCCACCTGGCCCTCTCACCTGTGACAATGACTTCGGCCCGGCTCGTGTTGCTGTACTGCGGGTTGCGGCAGGTGCAGATGTAGACCCCGGCTTCGGAGGGCTGGATGCTGGGGAAATGGAGCTCCTCCCCTGCATGGAGTCAGGAACACGCCGGTCTCAGAGGCTCCGGGGGCCGAGGAAAGGGCCCCTCCAGGACTGGAGGCTTTGTGGATTCCAAACCAAAGAGGCAGTCCCGGGATGGGACCCTCCCGCGGGGCACAGGGGAAGGACTTCTCCTCCTCCCAGCCAGCCCACGATGCTGCTGTCCGCCAAGGCGGAGCACTGGGCCCTGGGATTTGAAATGGGGGACCCGCTCCCCCATGCAAAACAAAGGACCTGGGGGGAGGGGGGGGTCTTCCTTGAGGGTGAGGTTTAAGGCCAGGCTCTGGGGAATGACACTGCCAGCTGCAAGGGGGCACGGAGCACCCCTCTTTCCCCAAAGGCGGACCTCTTGACCAGGAATTGCAATTGAGGAAATAGCAGCCGCAGGGCCATGCGGGAGAAATACAACACAAGAACATAAGAGAGAAGCCAATGTTGGATCAGGCCAATGGCCCATCCAGTCCAACACTCGCTCACACAACATCCAGGGGCTTGTGGCAAATGACCGAAGAAATGCCCTCCCGAGACCAACACCCTGTCAAAGAGGCCCTCTGGCCATCCCGCCTGGCACACGGGGCCAGACGATACATCCGACACACTTCCTGGAGAGGTGACGGGTCTGTCTGGCTCGGGCAGGACTCTCCCCTGCTCTCTCCCCGTTGGCACCCTCTCCACTTCCCGCTCGGCAGGGAGACCTGAAACCCTCCTCCTCCTCCCCCCCCTCCAGGATGGAAGCATCTCCTGGCTGCACTTCTCACTGTGGCATCGGCCGTGGCACTCAGCCCAGAGCGCGATGGAGGCACAGCCGGGAGGAGCAAGCCTCCCCCCACCACCCGCCCACCCACCGGCATCACTCACCTTGCCGCCTGCGCTGGGCTGTGCCTGACACGGGGCGCCCGTCTTCCCGGGACCAGTAGAAATAGTGAGGGGGGTGCCCGCTGACCTGGCAGTGCAGGGTGACCTCGCTGCCTTGTGCCACTGCCGTCCGGGGGGGGTGCACTCGGACAACGAGCGGAGGCTGGTCTGGAGCACCTGGAGAGAGACGGGGGGAGGGGTTCGAACACCCAACACAAAGAGGAGGAGGAGGAGGGTGCTGGCAGTTGCGGGTGTCCGGGAGGGGATGCTCCCCCCACCAGCGGGGCCCTCTGCTGTTTATTCCCAGCCGCCCCCACAGGAGAAAGCAGCAAGTCCCCCCCCCTCCAAGATGGGGGACAAAAGTAGCCATGGCGCTCCTCTGCGGCACCCCCAGACAGGGGGCATTGCCACCGGGGGGGGACACTCACTCACCTGGATGAACACACTTCTGGCCACGGACGTTGGGGTTCCCTACGTAGCCTGGGGCACACCTGAGGAGGGGCGAGATGCGCAGGTGAGGCCGACACTTCCCTGGCCAGCAGGACTGGCAAGAAGCCATCTAGCAGACGGGCGTGCCTGGAAAGCGCTCCCAAGGCAGCTCCCGCTCCTTGCTTGGCACGCCCAAGGGGGACCTTGTGGCTGCATCCAGGGGGGCAGCGGACATCCCCATGCAGAGCTCTGGGGTCCCGCAGTCCCCCGGGGAGCCTTGGGGAAGGACGACCGAGAACGGCACTCACTGCTCACAGTACTGGCCGCTGTAGCCAGGCTCACAGGCCGTGCAGCGGTAGCCTCCGCCCCCCAGGCTCTCACACGTCCGCGAAAACCTGCCGGAGGAAAAGGTGACGGCCATCAGCGCTGCCTCTGCCTGCCCCCCTCCCCCCGGGCCAAGCCCTCCCCGCAGCTGATACGCACTGGTTCTCCGGATCAAGCAGTGGGCAGGCACACTGCTGGCAGTCCTCAGGGGTGCCGGCAGTGGCGTCTCCGTAGAAGCCGGGGGCACACTGCTCGCAGAACTCTCCGTCGGTATTATGGAGGCAACTCTGGGGAGAGAAGGGAGGAGGAGGAAGAAGAAGAGGAGGAGGAGGAGGAGGAGGAGATTGGATTTATACCCCGCCCTTCACTTGGAGTCTCAGAGCAGCTTACGGACTCCTTTCCCTCCCCCTCCCCACAACAGACACCCTGTGAGGTAGGCGGGGCTGAGAGAGCTCTTTCCAGAACTGTCCTTGAGAGAACCATGGCTTGCCCAAGGTCATCCAGCCAGGTGCAAGTGGAGGAGAAGTGGGGAACCAAACCCGGTTCTCCCAGATCAGAGCCCGTGCACTTAACCACGACCCCAAACTGGACGGGATGGATGGGATGTGGGAATCGGCGGCTGCCAGTAGCCATCAGGCCAAGAGCCAAGGGTCCTTCTGCCCCAGGCTCTGGGACGGCCAAGATCCAAGAAAGCTTGCTTACTGAGCAGGCGCCTGTCTCTGGGTGGCACGTGTCTGAGTGCCCGTTGCATTCACACAATGCACAGTGGCCCAGGTAGAGCCCACCCCCGGTGCGAGTGTAACCGGCTGCACAGTCCTGGAACAGAGAGAGAGATGGAGAGATGAATGAGGGGAGGGATTGGCCCGCAGTGCCCAAGAGCTTTCAGAGCCAGTCTGGGCCCGCCGGTTGTCGCACCTGGCAGGAGAGGCCCTGGTATCCCGGCGGGCAGCGGCACTCCTCCACCTCCAGGGCCCGGGGCAGGTTGGTGTAGGTGGGCACGGCGGTCTCCATGCTGACGCCCGTGATGCTGGCCGACGCCATGTCCGTGGAGTAGGTGGCCCGGATGAGGATCTCGTCCAGATCGGCCAGGGCCATCATCAGGTGTTCGCGGGTGGCGGGCTGCCCATCCGGCCGCTTCCAGTGTTGCTGGGGAGACAGCGGGGGACAGAGTGGCACCGAGGAGGGAGGTGTCTCCTCCTGGGGGCGGCAGGAGGGCGCTCGAGCAAAAGTGGCTTTGGGGACGGAGGGGGGCGATGCCTCCGGCACAGTTGGCTTCTGAGCCCCTCAAAGATGGGGGCGGCAGGGACCACCGGGCAGCCCTGAAGGCAGGAACTGCTCCAGGAGAGGCGTAGCCAGGGACCCCCCCAGGCAAGCAGGGGCGGGAGGGAATCCTGGTCCCAGGCCTGCCCCCCCTCCAACCGCCAGGAGCAGCTGTCTGCTGAGCAGGACGGCCGCAGGTACATCCATCATCCCCACGGCAAGTGAGCGAGACTCTCCAGCGCACGGTCCTGCCGTGTGGCGAGAGGACAGTTGCAATGTGGGGGGGAGGCCCCACAGGTGACACGACAGCCCCCTACCTCCCGGAAGACAACCTCAAAGCTCTTGCGTTCGCGGGGCCACAGCTCAGGAAGGTAGGCGACCAGCGTGATGTCGTTGCCCTGGAAAGACACCGCCAGAGAGAGCCCCGTTGGTCACCAGCGCACGTGGTCCAGCCTGCTGCGTGCCCTGCGGCCCACACCTGAGGCCTTGGCTCACTGGGTACTGAATGCGCAGTGTCAGCTTTTACTCCCCACCCCACCCCTTAACCAGTGCGCAGAGGGGGGCATGAAGTGGAGAGAGTGACTGGGCCAGGAGGCTCTGAGCCGAATCAAACGGCAGCTCGCTCTGCCCACTGTGCCATGTCCTTCCCTGGCAACCCCAACCTCTGGAGCCCGGAGGCATGCAGGGACTGAAGAGAGGGGTCTCCGCCTCCCATGGGCCAGCCCACCCCAGCCCGTCTTCCTTACAGTGATCTGCACGTTCGGGTCTGGCAGCGGGGAGCCTCTCCCTCCGGCGTCGTAGGAAAGGGTGAAGCGAAGGCGTCCCCCATAGGAGCCAACCTGCAGGAAGAACAAGCGATACATCATCTGGGACTCCCACCTTCGCTGGGCTGAAATCAGGCTGCTGTGGGCTCAGGTATCGGGCAGAACAGCCTCAGAGCTGGATGCAAACAGCTGGCTTCTTTGTGGCCACACCCCATGTACGAAACGATCAACGAACAGGGTTTACACGCGACAGGAGGGGATGTTTCTTAGGGCCAAAGAAAAAGGGCAGGACTCTTTCAAAGGCACTCCACAAAGGAAGAGGGACCCTTTGGCAGGGTCTCCAAGAGCTTCGTGGCTCTCCCTGCACGAGGTTTGCCCACCCCCACCCTTTGCTAACCCCCAAAGTGTCTTTGCAGAATCAACCTCACTTGCAGGATTTGGGGCTCCTTGGTAAAAGGGTGGGGGAATCGTGCGGCTCCTGTCACAAATCACCGTCTTCCCACGTCCCTCGAGCCTTCTGTGCCCCCCCTCCAGGGACGGGCTTCCTGAGTTACTGTGTCCCTCCGCCCTCCCCGAGTGGGGAAATTACCTTGTCCCCTAGGAAGGCCTTCGGCAGTCCCCAGTAGAGAGGGATTTCAGGAAGGAGGGAGAAACCTTTGTAGAGCAGCGAATACTGAGACAGAAGGAGGAGAGTGAGGAGAGAAGGCCCCAGCTGGCACAAGGGGGAAGGCGGGCAGGGGCACCACGGGGGAGGAGGCATGCACGCGGGCAGAGGCTGCGGGACGCCCGCAAACTCCACGCCCAAGGGGTGGCGATGCCAGGGCCCCGCTCCATTCTGAGCAGTTCTTCAGACACCCCCTCTTCCCCAAAGGTCAGTACAAGGACGCCAGGAAAACATGCCGGGATCAGGCCCCTTCCAGGGCCACGGAGCGGCACGCTGCCCAGTCGCATGGCTAGGCCGCTGGCTGCAGGCATTACTGATTTACGCTTGCGGAATAATTCATGACCACGGAACGAGGCACCCTCTTTTCTTTTTCTTGTCAACTGGAAATATAAGCCTTCTGGAGAAAACTGATAGATTTCCCCCCCCCCCCATGAAACATCTGGTAAAGAACGACGTTTGGAGGGAAGAGAAACCCGATCTGTGAAATGCTTCCTCTCCCAACAGAGATGCCGAAGGAGATTGGTTTCCCAACTGCTGTTCTGCAATCATTAGCTTGGCCTGTGCCAGCACAACCAACGATGCCAAGGCAAGCCGACCCTGGGCACCCCTTCCAAGCCCAGAGGAAGAGGGAAACACATCGACAGCCCAAGAAACAACCAAAAGTTTTATGTTCCCCCAACACATTTCATTTGCAAGCCATTGGGATGCCCCTCCTCCTCTCTTCCTAGCAGCAGGTTTGCCAGCTGTGCTGCAGACTCCCACCAGTCGGGGCTTGATGAAGCATGCCCCCACCCACCCCCACCCTCATTCACACACGTGGCATGCTGGCTGCCCAGGCCAGGCCAAGCACATGCCCCTCTCGCAAGTACCTTTGCGGCCTCGGCCACCCTGGACTGGTATCGGGAGGCGGACAGCAGGTTGCTGAAGTCTTTAGCCTGGCCCCTGGGAGTTTCTTCTCCCTGAGACTTGAGGTCAGCAGAAGATGTGAGAGGACGCAGTGAGAGGGAGGCAGGGAGGGAGGCAGGGAGCCAGCGGGCACCGGGAGCTCAAGGGCCCACCAGCAGGCAGGAGAAAAGAGAATGGGCAAGAAGGAAGAGCCTGTCCCCCCCCCCCCCCGGGGGGGCACGGGGGACCCCAAGAAAGGTGGGGCTCCCCCATGGACCAGTGTCCCCTCTAAGCTGAGTTGGTGTGTGCTAGCTCACAGTTCTTTAGCCTCCGTCTCACACATTTTCGTCTTAGCTCAGGAAGGAGGGGGCTCCGGAGCAAACTGATTGATGCAGCAGCCAAATCGCTGGCTCACAACTTTAATGCCAGCCGCTCACAGAGCAGAATTCTTGCTCACGAGACTCCACAGCTTAGAGGGAGCATTGCCGTGGACCTCTCAGCCCAATCCCAGCAGGGGGGCGCGGGGGGGTGCACACATTAACCAAAGGGATGCCAAGCAAGGTACACTTAGAGGGGGGCAAGCATTTTGGAAAGCCAGGAGACCCCCCAAAGAGCCATGTCAGGCATGCCGGGGGGGGGGGTGTCGAGCCCTACCTGAGGGCGTGAGCTGGGAGCAGCCGCTAAAGAAGGTGGGAGCCGAGGAGGCCTCCCCGAGGAGGACCCCGAGAGAGGACGGGGGAGGGCTGCCTGGGCAGCAGAGGGGGCCCGCAGCCCTGCAGGAGGGCTCCTGGAGGTGCCTCCTCCCTTAGGGGGCATGGCTGCCCCGGAGGAGGACGCCCGCCCTGCAGCAAAGCGGGACAGCATCTCCCAGATCTCCGCATCGCGTCTCTGCTGGGCGTCCTGGGCCTGGGGGGTCAGAGAGAAGGAGGCAAGAGAGAGAGAGGGAGAGGGAGAGAGGGAGAGAGGGAGAGAGGGAGAGAGAGGGAGAGAGAGGGAGAGAGAGGGAGA